AAAAACTGACCAATGCACGCACTGCAACACTGTCGAATTTGTGCAGAGACATTTCTAGACGTGGTCTGCACGTCTGGGATTGTGCGGAGATGGTGGCAAGGCAGTCATGTCACTAGATTAGCAATCCAGGTCTCCCAGCTAATTCCCTGGGGACACGCTTCAAATCCCACTCTGGTAGCTTGTGGAATTTAAACATGTAAATGACTAGATCATTCCTATTTCCTACTCTTTCATACCATTTCTATTTGCAGCAACTCCAGTTAGCTTCCCTACTTTGGTGTTTCAGGTGAACAGGCACAGGTGCTGTGCTTATTATGTTCAGTCAATACCAATTATATTGACTGTAGGCAAACAACTTTCAATTGGATTCTCTCGTCGTAGTTCCCTACTCACGAAACAGGTACAATTTCATTTTTATATTTTTTCCAATACAGCACGGGAACAGGCCCTTCGGCCCACCAAGTATTGCACTGCTATATTGTGGGCTAGCTATTCAAAATTGCCTTGTGGGAGTGGGAGAAGTGTTAGTTTCAGCAGAGGAGAGGAACACAAAGTGTTATTGAAACCGCTGGCTCAGCCAATGAACTCAAGCCAACAAGCAGTCCATTTGCTCAGTTTGTAGAGTCAATCTAAAGAGAGCCTCCTCAAACTACAGCAACATTGGCCAAAGTAAGCAGGTTCAGGGATCCTGTGGCACTCCCTAGCTCCGGGGCAGAAGGTTTGGGTTCAAGTCCCACCTACCTTGGAGGCGCACTTAATATGTACCGACAGCCAGACAGACTAAAACAAAAAAAAAACAGACAGACTTATTTGTCCAGAAAATACTGAGTGAGAGAGAGGAGGAGAATTACACAATACAATATAAGAGTGTAAAAATCACATCCAGTCACTAACAGTGAGGTACCCATTGGTAGGGAAGTTCTGAAATTGTCTCCATTCTGGTCTCGATGTACGGGGCTGAATTTTTTGGTGATGCTAAGTTTGGAGGCAGCAGGAGGGGCTGCTGCTGAGAAAATAGGAGCAGGAGCCAAACCAGGATGGTAACCCCCACCCCCCAACACCCCCAACCCCACTGCATGGCTATCCCCTGCAGAATATTCCCAGGGACCGGCTTGGAAAGTGTGCTGCCTGTTTAACACTTTACTTAATCCCACATTTCGGAAGGATTTCAGCGACTCCACTGGTATTTGCTGGCCAGTGAAGTGATCCCTCGCACCGTGCAGATGCCAACTCAACAGAGGCAGCTTGCCGCTCATCAGAATCAGAGGCTTTACCCTCTGCAGAGGGGGGGCCGTGAGCAGAGACGGCTGTACCATCTATCCATGCCACTCTGAGGTGCCCACTGCCTCCTCCTTCCCAATGATGCTCCATATGCCTCTGACGGCATGTCCATATTGATTCAGTCTCACTGCTGACAAGTGCCCGTTTCCTGCATTTGGACTTGGCATTGGTGTCCCAAATCCCATGGGATGATCCTGCTGCCAGCGTCCCTGTGTGCAACCTAAATTTTAACTCTATGACCAGTACACCCTTGCACTTCCTAACTGTCTGCAAAATGGCCACAGTAATGTTGAGCTGGCAATGAGCCGTAACATGCAGATTTGATCCCTTGACCAATCCGCACTGTTTTCTCCCTTAATATAAATTGTTGTGACAGCTTGAAATTTGGTATTCTTGCATTGGTCCTGAGGAGTGCAAAGCAAAAAGCTTAGAGAACAGAGAGTCATAGAAACATGCAGCATGGAAACAGACCATTTGGTCCAACGTGTCCCTGCCGACCAGATATCCTAAATAAATCTAGTCTCATTTGCCAGTATTTGGCCCATATCCCTCTAAACCCTTCCTATTCATGTGCCCATCCAGTTGACTTTTAAATGTTGTAATTGTACCAGCCTCCACCACTTCCTCTGGCAGCTCATTCCATACATGCACCACCCTCTGCGTGAAAAAGTTGCCCCTTAGGTCCCTTTTAAATCTTTCCCCTCTCAACTTAAACCTACGCCCTCTAAGTTTTGGACTCCCATATCCCTGGAAAAGAACCTTATCTATTCACCCTATCCATGCCCCTCATGATTTTATAAACTTCTTTAAGGTCACCCCTTAGTCTCGATGCTTCAGGGAGAATAGTCCCAGCCTATTCAGCCCCTCCCTATGGCTCAAACCCTCCAACCCCTGGCAACATCCTGACTTGCTTTTCAATATTCAGGAACGTTTCAGCAAGTATTGTCCTGGATTTGGACAAATCAAAAGCTGGTTCTGCTTGCCAACAGATAACATTGCATTAAAATGAATGTGGAAGCCATATAAGGTTCTCCCAGGCACCGATAATAATGTATTCACACAGTCAAAAATATCAAGATCAAAACTCATGCCACACTCAAGAAAAGGATCTCAATTCATAACTTAATGTGAACACGAATGGTGAATGTGATTCTTGTTCAGCTAATTATGTTATACTGCAATGACCTTCCCTAATCTCAAAAGTCTCTTCACTGGGTAATAAAAAGTGTTCACTTTAATTTATCCAGGGCAGGTTCTGGTTAGTTGAGCAGGAATCCCAGTTTGAATACAGATGTGTGAGGGAAATTTCGACAAAGAAGGGACAAAGCCCAGAGCGCCAGATGTACAATCAAGACAGGAGGAAAAACAAAGGAAGAGAGGGACAAAAAAAATGGGAAAGACACAGGCAAAAGGACAATGCCAGGAAAATGTTGTCAAACTCAAAGGAATTGGCAGAGTGAGTGCGTAAATTCTCCTGCTCCGTGTTTCCACTGAAAACACTGTAAAGGAAATGAGTCAGTTTGCTCTGTTCCCCAAGGACATCGGGAGGTGCATTACAATATTACACTTAGAAGGGGACTGTAGAACTAGCGAGCAGCGCTTTCAGCTTGATACAGATTCCCTCATGTAGATCTAACACATGGCGATGACCTGTTTGGGTCCTTCTGGGACATTGGAAATAAAGTTTTGCCTCGTAACCTGCAACAAAGGGCTTTACTCTTAAGATCAAGGTTTTATAACTCTATATAAAGTAATTGAAAAGGAAAGAGTTGGCAAGGGAATGGGAAAAAGAGCCCAGAAAGTGAGACCAATTGGAGAGCTCTTTCAAAGAGCTGGCACGGGGATAATGGGCGAAATGGTTTTCCTTTGAAATTCTCAAGCAGCCCTTTAAGGTTTTTGGTTTGGAGAGCACCTCTTCATTTTCTTCCTTTTCATCCTTCTCCTATCCACACGATCCCTATCACAGGCCGATGGGATAGCCAGCTATCATAGGACCCACCGTGTGCCCCTGTGACTGCCAATATGTCAAGACAGAAAGCCGATTCTCAAAATGCATGGGATAACTACATTAGGAAAGGGGTCACTGCTTACTTTTCTCCTACAAACAGAAAGCTGAGGAGTGATCAAATAGTGGCCTTTAAAGGTGTGAACAGATTTGACAAAAGTGCATACAGAGGAAATATTTCCTCAAGCATAATCGAAAGCCGTCAGTTGGACCATAGGAGGTAGGCCATGCACCCCATTGACTCTGCTCTGCCATCCAATGAGATCATGGCTGATCTGATAAGCCTCAACTCCACTTTCCTGCCTTTTCCCCATAACACTTGATTCCCTTCCTGATTAAAAATCTGTCTCAGTCTCGATGTACTTAATGACCCACTCAGTAGTCACTAGGAAATCCAACAGGCAATGCAGAAGGAACGACTTTACCCCAAGAGTGGTGCGAATGTGGAACTCAACTACCACAGGGAATGGTCGAAGCAAATAACATCAGTTCATTACACAGAAAAGCAGACCAGCATGTGAGGGAGAAGGGAATACAGGGTCACAATGATACAGTTAGATGAGGAAAGAAGGGAAAGAGGCACAAATGGAATAAAATCCTGGAACTTCCTGAATAGCACTTTGGACCTGCACCACATGTATGGCAAGAAGATAGCTCATTATTAGCTTATCGAGGGTAGTTTGGGCTGGGCTACAGCTGATGATTAGCACTCAACACCCACATAATCTGGGGACTTTTTTTTAAGAAACCTGCATTGCTCAGTTGGGTGGCATTGCCCGTGTAGGAATCATACTTCCTACATGAACATTTTTTTTTGTAAACTGAATTACACTACGTAAAAACAAATATCTTTTTTTCCTCTTGGTTTCTGTCCCACCTCAAGCTGCATTGTTTCAGGTCATAACCCCAGGTTCTTCTGGACATATCAGCATAGTAACAAGCTAGCTGTCCCTCGAGTGGCATCGTGTTTACAATGCCACTCCCACTTTGGTCCTCATCTTTCCTGTTACATGACAAGCACTGCCAGCCAAAGTAACCCTGTCTCAGTCAGAAGGATGCAATCTTGTAGTCAAAGTGACCAACGCCCACAGCACCTTCTGAAAGGGACGGGTCGCTGGGCAGATCACACAGGCAATGGTACTTGCTGCAGAAGTGGGTATTGGCGTTAATGTCAACCCCTTCTCCCACCGTCAGAGGGGGGTCCTCAGTAATCCACCAAAGAGAAGGGGAATAAGTACTTCTCCTTCAGGAATACTGCTGCATTGACAACACATTGGTGTGATCTGAGAACACCCTTAACTTGAAAGCTCACCCCTGCATCATCCCTCGCACTGAGTTCATTCCAATGGCCAAGAGTCTTTGAGATCTACAACATTGTCTGCACTGGTCGAAAACCACCGCCTAACTATTCTAAGATAACACAGTGTGGAGCTGGAGGAACACAGCAGGCCAGGCAGCATCAGAGGAGCAGGAAAGCTGACATTTCGGGTCGGGACCCACCTAACTATTCTAAACCCATTTTCCGGTGCTGACTCATAGCCCTGAAGGACCTGGCATCACAAGTGCACGTCTAAATACTTTGTAAATATTATGAGAGTTTCTGCATCTACCACCCTTGACCAGGCAGTGACCCTCGTCTGAACCGATAACCAATTGGAAAGGCAGAATTTAATTGGTCAGACTGCAGCCAGGAAACAGTGCTGAAGTTTGTTACCAGGAGGTTGGTGCACCTGAAGGTGCTGGAGAAAGCCATCGTTTCACTCGGGATCCCAGCACCCACTGAAACTTCAGCTTGGAATGCCAGCTTGACCAGGTCTGTCTGCTGGCACTGTTGTTATGTGCTTCAGTTCTGGAGAACAAAAGCAGAGAGATCAGTATTGGAGAGTTTCAATGGTAGGGCTAGCAACGAATGAATTAATCCTTTGAAATGATTCTAGACATAGAATCCCCACAGTGCAAAAGAGGCCATTCAGTCCTTCATGTCTCCACCGACCCTCCAAAGAGTATCTCACCCAGACCCAGCCTCCTACCCTGTCCCCAAAATCATGCATTTCCATGGCTAATCCACCCGGACACGATGGACAATTTAGCATGGCCAGTCCACCCAACCTGTACATCTTTGAGAAGAAACCAGGGTATCCGGAGGAAACTCACACAGCCACAGGGAGAATGTGCAAACTCCATGTGGAAGTCACCCGAGGGTGAAATGAATCCAACCACTGAGCCATAGTGCCACCCTTTTGTATACACATCAGGTAACTGAGATAAGTAATGAAGTCAAGTTGCCCAGTCTGATGTAATTCCTCAACTATAGAAGATAAAGGGGTGATCTGAATGAAATGATTCAGATGATTAGAGGACTTGATAGATCCTCCTCTCCACTCTATATCCCATGGTGGGGGTGAGAGGTCAAAACAAGGGGGCAAACTTGGAAAATTAGAGTTAGGTACTTTACAGAGTTTTGCACAGAGGGAAGTGACATCTGGAATTCGTTCCCTCAAACACTGTTTCAGGTATCCCCTGAAAATGAGATGCATAGAGTTTTGTTAGTCAAAAGGTATGAGAAGTTTGGAGTGAAGGCAGACAAATGGAGTGAAGTTACGAATCACACGTGATTGCCAAATGACAAGACACACTTGTGCAGCTGACAGGCTCCCCTAACTTCCTGTAAGTCATACTTATATTCCAGTGCGGTCAGCTAAATGGATGTGGGTCCTCCTTATACACAAAGGAGGCTAATAGACAGGGTTTTACAGCAGGTGATGCAAGAGCAGAGCTGGGCTGTTGGCAGGAACCTACAATAAAACAATGTACACGTGTGGTTTTCTCATTACTGAACCCCTCTCTCTGCCTGTCACAAAGAGCCATCAATGGTTGACTGCAGTGATCCTGTTATAGAGGGCCTGCTCCTTTAAATCAGATCTATTTCCAGCAGCTGAAATAGACAAGCACCTCACTTGGATTGGGGACGCTGCATCTTTAACAATTTTAAGGCATCTGTTATCTCGGTGGCAGGGAGAGAGGGGACAGAGAAATCACTTTCACAGATTTACCTGGGGTAGGGGGACATCAGACCAGCGAGAAATCTACAGCCCCGACCCTGTGCAGTGAGACAGAAGTTCCAATTCTTTGTCTATTAGTTATTTTGTTAAACCGCCAGTTGCGTTGCCAATCAAACGAAGATTGGGAGACTTGTCGGAATCTGACGGGCAGGAGCTCGGAAAAGGGAAAAACGTTTGCAATTCCAAGGTATGCCAGAGGGTGACAGTTTTTCTGTCCTCTCCTCACACAGAGCAGTGACAATCACAGCTAGGCCCAGTCACACAACAAACAAAGCAGCTCAGAGGGTGGTTTCTAAAGGATGTGAATTCCTGCCACAGCATTGAACTCATAGCCTCGGAGAGAGGATAAGACTGCCTGCAGAACAACAGAAAGCTATCAGCCTTCTCTGTCTCCTTCAGGTGACCTTGTTTCGATTGAATGGGCTTGCAGCTTGAAGCACTGGTGTGGCAGTAACATCACTGGATAGTAATCCAGAACATAAGTCTAATGTTCTAGTGACAAGGGTTCAAATCCTACCACAGTAGGTGGTTACATTTAAATGCATGCCTTTGAAAACCAAAAAAGACTCTGGCTTTAATAGTGACCATATAGTCACCTTTGATTGTTGTAAAAAAAAACCCCATCTGGCTCACTTAGGGATGGAAATCTGCCATCCTTACCTGGTCTGGCCAACACTTGACTCCAGACTCTCAGCAATGTGGCTGCCCTTTAATACCCTCTGGGCAATTAGGGTTGGCCCGGTCTGGGACCCCACATTCCACCAAGGGATATTGAAACAAAAAGTGGGAGCAGCTTTTAACGGGTGACGTCAGAGCAATACGAAAACTTGCCAAAGAGACACATGAACATATAAACAAAGTACGAGAGTAGGTCATGCAGCCCTTTCACAGCTGCTCCACCATGCAATAAGATCACAGCTGATCTGATTTTAACCGTCAATAATCTTTCATCCAATTGGCAATCAAGAATCAATCTATCTACATCTCTGCCTTCAAATATTTAAAGATTCTGCAGCCAGTGCCTTTTGAGGAAGGAAAATTAATAACTTTATTCCAAGTGTAAAGCCAGGTACCTCATCAGATTGATTCTTCCCCAGCCCCAGACAGAGTCAAATGGAGATCAGAGAGCTTTGCATCACCGATGTGAACCAGAACTCCCTCAGCCCTGACCCTCCGACGGCACGGCGCTCCCTCGGCCCTGACCCTCCGACAGCGCGGCACTCCCTCGGCGCTGCAATAGATTGCCAGCTGAGATTTTTTGTTTAAGTCGTGGGAGTGGCACCTGACCCTACAACCTTTGGGCGTGGGGGACAGGGCACCCTCACACTGAGCCCCAGCTGATACCCTTGGCTCATACGCAAAGTGCGTCAATCCACACAACACACCAGGCATATCGACCTTGTAAGCCTGCACCATAACGTGAGCCAGAGGTGTAAAGAAAAGGCGGGGGGCGGGGAAGACAAAATTAAGTGGATAAGGGACCATTGGCCCTTCCAATACAGAACTTGAGGAATAAGTAATGTTCCAAAAAAAAAGCCACTTGAAACAGTTCTGTCAATTTCCGTTACATACCAGTCTTCAGAGAACAGATTCAAGACCACAACAGTATGTTACAAGTTGAAGATTAAGTCTGACAATGGCAAACCCCATGACTATAGACCGATCAGCAGAGACTGCATAGAATGTGGCTTTGGGTGCACATTCCTGGTCAAAATTGGAAATCTCTCTCTCTGCTCCACACATGCTGCTGTTTACTCCGATAAAACAACAGGAAGCGAAGGTGACACAAACACAGATCACCATAAATACATAAACAAGGTTACTCAGGCAAACACATCATCTTCCTTCCCTAGCTTTTCACAGAACAACCATTCTCCCAGCCTTGTGTTTTAAGTTACAGTATATTAAAAAATTATACTTCCTCCTTCAATGACACTTGAGAGCTTTGGCTGGCTTAAACTTACAATAAGTCTTTTTCACCAAGACAACTGGATGTTCTTAATGATGCATCGACTTCCATCCGATTTCCACAGCTTTATGTTCAAGAGTGACTCTCACTGGCTGTGAGAGAGACCATTATTTCTCAGTTAACTCCACCGTTTTCCAAGTATCAGGTGTAGGGGAGGTGGGGAGAGTTGGGGAGAGTTGGGGAAAGCTGGTCCTAAGTCTGTGTGACGCCTCCTTTAGCGTGCAGAGCTCCCCAAACCTCGTTCAGCACCTCGTGTTGTGGAGGAACAGGCTTCATCCATTGTCACGCCAAGATGCCAGAAAGAACGATGTAGTAACACAGAGGGAAATCAGGCCAAGGCTGAAAGCGACAGGTATGATGCTGAGGCTTTTCACCCTGATCTCTTCGGGAAAAACACTATAATGCAAAACTACAAGCAACAAGGCCTCAAGCTTGGTTGGAATTACCCAGGAGTTTCTAGCTCCCTGTTGCTTCTGCTAAGGCAAAGTCTGGGCCGGAGTTGATTTACCAAACCAAATTGACACCATTTTCCTGTCGTATAACTCACTGCAATTGTTTGAAATTTGGCATTTTTGCACGTGTGCTGATGAGTGCAAAGCAAAAAGCTTTGGAAACGTACCTCTCTTCTCAGCAAGAGTGAAATTGCGGCAGGATTTGGTTTACTATTGTCACGTGTACCTAGGTACAGTGAAAAGTTTTGTTTG